TTAAACTGAACATGGATTTTCGGTTTTACAAATTAGAAGAAACTAAACTTGATAGTCAAAAACAAGTATAACTGACTATAAAATCAAGTAAGGTTCGTTTCACCAGGGTTCATACTTGACCTTGAAACTTGAAAAAAAAGGGTTGTCGTTGATTAATTTATATGACACATTCAATTTTTTTGACAAATTAAAATGAAAGACTTCTGGTTCAAGAACCGACGAACGTTTTTGACGTCATTGACTTGTTTCAGTCAATTTTGATTTGTTAAACAAGGAAGGCAAATGCTGGTGGCAAGTACAAACCCTGGCGAAACAAACTTTAGTATATATGCGGAAATTCCCTTACACTTGAAAAATATGTATATGTCTTTATCGAGGTCTTTATTAGATATTATTTCGTAGGTTGTATGTTCTTCAGTTTATCATTTCATGTGACTGAATCATTGACACAGACACTCTGGATTAATTTGATTTGATTTTTAAATGCCCACATTTATTTTTGATGTATTCAAATACTAAGAAAATTTTCCCCTTATGCCGGTTTTCCACCAAACCGACAAAACAAAAACAAAACTTAAACTCAGACAAAACTCCAACTTTTCCCAAACATTTTCAAGATTAGCGTATTTTGCCACAGGTGGAGTTTTGTTTTTCGGGTAATTTCGTGTTTTAAAACATGTTTTAAAACAAAAACTCAACAGTCCGTTTGGTGGAAAACCGGCATTAGAGCATCTTTACATCCCTGTCGCCCCTAATCTGTACAGGGTTATCCAACGAAAGTGCTTTTTATCTTATATACCTGTTAATTGAAGAGACAAAAAAAAAATGTTAAATATAAAAGTTGTTGGGATTTTTATGAGGAATTAGGAGCATCTTTAAAAAAAAAAAATGGAAAGGCGGGTTTAGAAAATATAGCAAAAAATTTAACATTTCTTGCTTCATTTAAATGGAATAACCCATTTTTGAATATGTTTTTGGATTCTACAATAAATTTTAGCCCTGATATATGTTACATGTCCTAAAATTAAATTCAGCAATTTTGCAGATATCGCTAATCAACGATTTTTCAATATAGATTACGAAAAAAAATTATATTTCATTGCTGGAAGCTGGTTCTGAACCCGCCATTCCATTCATTTTTAATAAATGCTCCTAATTCCTCATAGTCCAGGAGGCAGTGAGATTTTTTAGCACTTATTTCCCCAGTTGGTATCTATGAAATAGTTTGTTCTCCTGGTGATACAAAGCAAGAATTTTTGAGTCTGGCTACGCTTATTTTCCCAGACATAATTATTTCACATTTACTACAATGGAACATAAAGTATATGAAAATAATAATTTGGCTTATCTCAGATAGTGAAAGTGAGTCTGGCTGAAAATTTTCGGGTCTTCAATTTTTCACTTGCCAGACATATTATTCATACTAACAGATTAGCCGGAAATTTTTTTTATGTAACTTCAGTATACTTCTCATTAGTAGACCTATTTTTATCACTGAGAAAAAAAAAGGCCGTGCATTCGTAAGCTTTATTGCATTTTGCGCCTCAACCCATCGGAAAACCCCCCCTAAAAATATATGTATTTTCCTTAGAATTACTTACCCTACAACTCTATCCAAGTTGTCCGACTGGGAAAATAAGTACCGAAAATCGTCACTGCCTCCTAGACTATCATAAAAATCCCAGCTTTTATATTAACATTATTTTCTACCTCTTCAATTAACAGGTACATAAGGTAGAAAGCACTTTCGTTGGATAACCCTGTACATTTTTAAAAGTTCTTGTTGCAAAAATGCCCAACTTGCAATGATGTAACCAAGGATCTTACTTATATGATTAATAAACAGATTGAACAACAGAGTTGCATTGAATGAGCTCTACCACGTCTCCGTCATCCTGAATAAAGTTGCCTATTATTCTACTATAAAGACCCCAGACAACTTTTTACAACTAAACTCTTAACAAAGAGAGAATTGGAGTCGAGTTGGACCTCACTCCCCAAAGCCTCCAACAAATCGTTCTGGTATACTGTTTCAAATCATATCAAAAAGTTCGTTATTGTCCAGAAAAAACTTCATTGACAAAGCATATCAACTTAAATAATAAAATAATATAGCTTAATCTCTATAAGAACAATTTACAATTTTTCCTACGTTAAAAACAAGGTGTCTCCAAAGAATTCTTCAACATTATGTATTGGGATCACCATATGAAGTTCAGCACACTGCAACAGAATCACTGCAATTCAAATCCACTGGGAGATGGATACTATTATGACTTCAGAGCATCAAACTTCAACGACATAAACTATTTTCTTGGCTCTATTTCCTGGGATGAGCTGCTTTTAAACAAGTCTGTGAATGAGATGATTAACATTCTTCATAGTTTTTTATATGTAGCCTTTGATCTCTTTGTACCTGTTAAAAGAATAGCCAGTGTAAGGTTTCCCAGATGGTTCTCACAAATCTCACAGGATATGAGGGCACTCATTATACAGAAAAAAATCTTACTCAAAAAATATAAACAAAGTCGTCTACCTTCGGATTATCTGGCATTTTCTGACTTGCGCTCACAGTGCAATCTGCTCTCTAGGGAGAATTTTCGTGAATACCTAAATGAAACTGAATCGGCACTGCAGCATAACCCAGAACAGTTTTGGTTTTATACCAAATCTTTACAAAACTCTAGTAAGCCTCCTCCAAGTTTTGGACATAATGGTGAATCGGCAGGGTCTCCAAGTTGCCGAACTCTTCGCTGAATACTTTGGCTCAGTCTACTGATCAAGTATTGGATTTCCCAGATCAGCTTTCTCTATCACCTCACAATTTTTTGATTTCACTATTTCTGTCTCTGACATCTACATGGAGCTAAATAATATCGACCCAAACAAGGGCCTGACCATATCCACTCGCTCTTTTTGAAAAACTACTGTTTTGGTTTGTCCAGACCCTTGCATATAATTCACAACAAGTCCCTAAGGGACGGCTTCTTCCCTGAGTATTAGAGAGCCAGTTATGTGGTGCCGATTCTTAAATCCGGTGACCCATCAGATCGCGCAATTTGCATAATTAGTGCAATTCCTAGAGAATATTGTCACAAAATTTTTATCATCATCTTTAAGCAGCGAAATCACATCTGAGCAGTTGGGCTACAAAAAGAGGTCATCAACGGAAATTAATCTTCTCACATACACTGACTTTCTGACGGGCGCCTTGCAGGGAGGTGCGGAGGTACATACTATATACACTGACTTCTCCAAGGTGTTTGAGAGAGTCAATCATTTAGTCCTGATCAAAAAACTAGAGAGACTTGGCATTTCCGGCTCTCTGCTTCAATGGGTGGGAAACTATCTAACAGGAAAGACACAGATAGTTCATATTAACAACTTCACTTCTTTCCAAAATCGTGGTGTCATCAGGTGTTCCTCAAGACTCGCATTTAGGCCCACTCTTTAACCTGTTCATCAATGACATCTATTCTTGTTTCCTACACTCTTCATTTCTTCTTTTTGCCGATGACTTGAAATTATTTTTGAAAATCGTTACTCCTGGTGACTGCCATGCACTGCAAGAGGATCTTGACAGGTTAATTCAGTGGTGTCAAACTAATGGCATGGATCTTAATGTTACAAAGTGTAAATTTATGAAATTCCACAGGTCTAGAACATTCAATGACTGTATATATCACATCAATGGTACGCCATTGGACTGCGTGAATCAGATCAGGGATCTGGGTGTTTTGCTGAGCTCCAATCCTTCTCTTCACACATCAATGCCATAGTTAGCAAAGCACTCCGAATGCTTGGGTTTGTGAAGCGTAGTACAAGGGAATTTGCAAATATCAACTTCATCAAAACGTTATACTTCTCATGTTCGTACATATCTTGAGTATGCTGCATCTGCTTGGAGTCCAAACTATGCCTGTCATATTCATCGCCTTGAAGGTGTGCAGCGTAAATTTTGCAGATACATATCTCAATTACAAATTTTTTAACAATGAGAAATTTCATTATGGACCACTTTGTGACGCACTGAACTTATCAACCCTTAGCTCCAGAAGGAAGTAGAAAGACCTCAAACTGATACATAGAATCCTAAATTCCACAATTGACTGCCCCTACGTTACTTCTAATATAGCTCTACATGTCCCATTACGTAACACCCGCACAACTCCACCACTGCATGATTAAGGATATTGGGAAATATCTTGTCAAAGGAATCATTTATTGTATCTCCAAGCTCACAAAATCCCTATCGTTGAGATGGAGTAATAGTTCAATGGATTAGTCACCAAACATTGACTGGTGCTAAAAAGAAGTTTGAGATATTCTTGTCTGTCAAGCCTGGATTAGTTTTTCTTCAATAATTAATTATCATTTACTAATGAGATTATGATCAACCCAGCTAATCATTGAGAAAATACTGAATCCTTCATTGTGGAAACTACAAAAAGTCTTGACAAAATCAAACATAAGTATTACTCGTGAACAGATTCCAGAATTGCATCATGTATCAAATATTTCATCATATTCCTCAACGTGTAATGAGACCGATTAGCTATTATTATACAATGCTATTATCTATAAATAGTCCCTTAATCAGTCAATGATCATTTCGGTTCTTTCGTATTTGCAGAGACTGCACCACCTGCAAATTGGGCAAATTTTAAGAAAAGATATGCAGGAAATAAGAAAGTACATTTTGATATAAAGCGCACTATAAATTTGGAAGACCGAACTCTATTACATAAAAGCAAAGTTTAACGAACTTAAACGCAAAAAATAAACATGGCGAATAACAATTTGAACTGGCGAGCCGACATTGAAATGCTCTTCAAGGCGAAGGATTCCGAAATCGCAGACCGTATCGCGCTGGGCTATAATACTTATGTCGTTGACACCCAAGTTGATGTAATTTTTTTACACAAATTTTGAAATAATCAATTTTTATCAGTCAAAATTTGATTCATTGATTGCTAACAGGTTTCTTTTTTTTCTTCTAGGAGATGCGTGAAGTATTGAAACTCCACGGAGATGGCGAAGTCGAGTGGACATTTATGGAAGCAAAAGACATTCCTGGTATTATTCTTCACGACAGACTGATGACTGATGCAGCTCTGGGAACACGACCAATCAAAGTGGAACATAGTTACAGTCTGAGCTCGGATGGAGATTCCTTAACTAATTCGCCGAAACACCATACAACAGTTGATGGTGAGAATACTTTTATTTTTAATTTAGTGAAAAGGTACTAGTACTATATATCGAGTTGTGATTTAAAATGTGAAGTTCTAAAATATATTCGCTCATACAGGGAACTAAAATAACCTTCCAATTAACAGTTCAAGAAAAAATAAATGATTATTTTAAAAAGGCATGCTGCTGATAAACGTACACATAATAGGCAAAAAATGTATGCCAATATGCAAGTATGCAATATTTATTTAAATTTTTACTTATAGCAGCGTATTACTGATAACTAGTATGGTTGCCTGTGAATAACTTTAAATACATAAAATAACGCTATACTTCCTTATCTTGAGTATTTTGTGTATAATCGTATTTTACGTCAGACCAATCGCACTACTGTATGTATTATGTACAAAATTAAATTACTATTACTCTACAGGGAATATCTGATTCACTCTACATTACTAGAAATAAAACTCTTCGACTTTTGTTTGATTTGATTTCAATGTTAATATTTTTAAAAGCAAAAAATGTTTGGAGAACTGAAAATATCCATACCCATCCCACTTTTGCCAATCTTTAATATTAATATTTCTAGCTCACCATGTATGCACCCACAAAATTCAACTTAGAGATGCTTTTCTCTTGAACCCTGGTAGAGGAAATATCCTCAAATATATAGAAACAACACACAATATGAATCACTACCAAAACTAATAACAATTATTATAATATTTCAGACATGGATGAAGAATGTTACCCGACCATATCGATGAACCCAGAATCAGCATGTGACAGATTACAGGAAGAAACGCTAGAAATTAAAGAAGAAGAAACGGAAATAAAAGAAGAATACAGCGAAACGGAAAGTACACACAGTTCTTGTCCATCGTCGCCCTCGCCACAAGCACAATTCATTGATGGAAGCGAAATACAATTTGATGTCGATATGGTAAGGAGTTTCATTAATTAATTTTTTTTTTCTTATAACATTAAAAACACTAGATAAATGAGTTCCAAAAAATTAGGCAATTATGTTTTTATTGTTTATAATAGTAGGCCACAAATAATCACGTCTTTTCTACTTGAACAAGTATTTCACTCCAAATCTTGTTCTTTCATTAATTTTGACTTTTTTTTTCAGTCACAAATATCTCAAGCACTTCTACAACAAACGGGACAAAACATTTTCATAACAGCAGGAAACTCTATTATACCTCAAAGAATACAAATGCCAAAATTAAATATAAAATTGGGTAAGTTGAATAGATTGTAAAAAATGCTATAATCGTTCTTTGAAGAAGGAAGACTCTAAAATTGGACACATGTTTTGTGGTCCGACAAATACCATTTTAAAGTCACGTGATATTGGTGGCAAAAAACGTATGTTCATTGATTATGTCGTTGATATCACCTACAAAAAGCTACTGGTGGTTAATTACTATTGAATTTTAGGATATGTTCCCACTAGCATTTTACAAACACTTTTCTAGAGTAGTATTGACCAATCAGATGGGAATATTAATACTTGCAATTGTTGCGAGACTCGCTTTTGTCGCATCTGCTGTCCGTTGTAATAAATTCTGAACTTGCATGGGGTACCCGTTTTCTATTTGCTTCTTTTCGAGTTGGAAAAAGGTTGATATAGTCAAAATTATTAGCTGTGTTTGTTCGTTGTATCATTTTCGAAAATAACTTTCACAAACTAATTGTTGACAGTGACGGATTCTATTTCAGGTAAGAATATTATGAACAATAATTAGACACCAATTTTTTTGTCAATTTTACTATCACCGCTGTTTAAGATGTATTCAACAAGGATAGAGAAAAATCACGTGACTTTAAAATGGTATTTGTTGGACTTTTTTTTTATCACTGTCTGCTCAGCAGAATTTTGGTATTCCTGGTCTTTGATTACCCACTTAAGTTTGTCACTTGTTGTAGCATGTTGGCGACAGTTGGTTGTAGTACGTGCCCAGCATATCAGAGCTGTTCAAGGTCTAAATAGATCCATACCACCAAAAATCTTATAGGCCTTATGATAAAAGACCTTCAGAATTAAGATATTATTCTGTTGTTCTTGAGTATATTTGGACCAATGAAACCAAGTGATTTTGTTTTTTAAGCTACGTTTCGAAAAATTTATTTTCTTCTTGACACCAGGATGACACATTTAGTGTGCAAACACAGTGCAAGCAGGTTTCCGCTTACCGGTAACCAGCGCCGACTCGCGCTTATAAGCGAGAAAAATGAATGCATGTTTTTAAATCGGCTAGAACACAGTCAAAAGCAGGTACTCTTCCTGTTTGTTACTGTGTACTAGCCGATTTGAAAACATGCATTTATTTTTCGCGCTTATAAGCGCGAGTCGGCGCTAGTTACTGGTAAGCGGAAACCTGCTTGCACTGTGTTTGTACACTTGGACCGTCAGATAGGTGACAGATTTAGGTGCCCCATTTTCGCATAAAAGCTTCGAAGGGGGTTGAAAAGTACATCGACTTTGAGTTGGATGAAGGGAAATTTACGAGTGGCTCCTGGGGATAACATATTTATGGAAAATTCGATTTTACTTATGTTACCCTGAAATGTACTTTTCCATTCGCAACACTCAAGCCAATATGTTTTCTTGCTACTGACGTTGTAGATTTTCATCCTTCTGATGGGCTTGTGTGGAAAAATTGCCCAGAATCTCGATTTTTCCTTACAAGATTACGCCCTTATTTCCAACCTTTAGCCACCTGCAACACCCCCTTCTTTGTTTTCACGAAGCCATTAATGAATTATTTGGTGAACAGGGCTTGCGAGAAAATATGGGCACCAAGACGTCTTTCATTTCTGTTACGGATAATCGAATTTTTCATACGTTATCCCCAGGAGCCACTCGTAAAAATACCTGCATCCTACTCAAAATCGATGTACTTTTCAACCCTCTTCGAGGCTTGTATGCGAAAATGGGGTACCTGAATATGTCACTATTTGACGGTGTAATTGTGTTATGTAATTTATACAAATTTTTCTCTGATGTTGATGGTTGAATAGCAGCTGAAAGTGGAAAGTATGTCAGCTAAAATGTTTTGATTTCCTGGCCTGTTGTATATCAAAACTTCAGGAAAAAAGAAAATATTCTTTATCATTAATCTCCAAAATTAATATTTATTTATTTATTAATTATAATATTTTATAAACTATTTCCTGGTATGCTAATTTAATTGGCTGAATTTTGTATACATATAATGTAAATCACGCCTTTCTGATTTAAAGTTACCATTGCACCAAACCTGAAAAATGACTCCTTTTTGAGAAAATAACGCGCAACAAGCTTACCTTTTCACGCCTTGTACTCTTCTGAGAAAAGCAACATCTTTAGGGGTTGGTTGTAGCCTATCTGCATCAGGTTTTATGGTTTTTCCTTCTAATGAATATCCCAGAATATTGATAGTTAACATTGAAAATTTACATTTTTCATCGTTTAGTGTTAGATTATACTTTCTTGTAATATTCACGAATTTCTGTAAGTTTTTGTCATGTTCTTCTTTTGTTTTTCCACAGATTGTAAAGGTACGGTTTCGCTGGAGCCGTCAACGGTCGCTGTCGACGGTCGCCGTCGTAGGCAACCGTTGAACGCCTTCTTGTCGTGTTTTTTTTTGGCTAGCCGCCAACAGTCGCACTGTCGCATCCACCAGCATCTAGTTATGCATCATGAAGAGAAAAATAGCCATTTTGCTTTTAGAAGAGGAAGAAGACGACGAAATTATTAATTATTATTTAAAAATGAGAAAAAGATCGACACCTCATGATATTTTCATCACAAGACGTAAACGTTTTACATGTTGGTTCTTGTAGCTCACATTTTCAGTATCATAGATTGCTCTATGTGAACTGACTGCATTAATTAGTTTATCATCTTCCATTGCCGCAATTTTTGGTGCCATTTTTAAATATATTATTTGTAAACAAAACACCCAATCGCTCTCGACGGCGCGTTCAGACTGGTATATCAAGCAGTCACGCGCCGTCGACAGCGCCGGGTAAATACGACAGTCGCGGTGAGACGCGCTAAAGAAACCATACTCATTGAATCAAATGAATAGCAGTGGGGCACCGTCAACGGCGACCGTCGACGGCTCCAGCGAAAACGTACCTTAACGTCGTTCAAAAATGCATATTATTATGTTTGGGATAGTCTTTCATTATGTATGATATTGTTGATTATACGTTGAAAAGCTATCTATAGTTCATACCAAATAAACTTATAGTCGGGTTGTCAAGCTCGGCCAACACAGCGTTGCCGTTTTTTACATATTTTCCTTTGGTCAAAATATTTTCAGAAACAATAATGGATTATAGGTAATATAATAATATAATGCAAACATTTATCAATTACAAACATTGTTTCAAAGCTTGGTTTAATGGATATTTAATAACAATTCATTTGTGAATCATTATAAAAAATATAATAGTAACGCTCAGTACTTATTTTATTTACAGCCACTCTAAATACTATAAATAAGAGAGAGAAATAACAGTTTCAAGTGCCTCTCGCCACATTTTTAAACAAGCATCTTGAGTATAACCATCTCTGGCCAAGGTAGTCGTAAAACTTTTTGTCCATACTGTTCTGCCAAGAGTGCCAAGTCATCTACCACATACTTTTTTTGTTGGTTTATTCCTGAAAAAGAAATACTTGAGAAGTTGAGCATAAAATGCATACAATTTTGGTACTGTAGGTAGTTACCGTGCAATAATGGTCACAAGTTCAGATTTCAATGCTGTATTTGGATACTCGACTTTTTGTTCGGTTAACCAATCTTGAATTTCAGCCTTGGTAGACGAACTATTGTTCTTCAGCAGCTGATTTTCGAACCATCGTAAAAAGTTTTGCTGGTTCATTTCCCCATGATAGTCACTAAGTTGAGTTTTCGTTGAAAATACAAGCGATGCACCTTCAATAAATCCATTTTCATTACCAGCATGAAGTATGATATTCTAAAAAAAGCATTTCATTTGTACATATAATACAACTGCTTTCTGTATTCATGTTTATATTCACCTTTTACCATCAACTTTGGCAGTTTTAACACTTCGTTTGTTGTCTTGCCACGAGCGGTTGATAGTACGATTTAGAAACATTCAAGTCTCGTCCAAGAAAACAAGCTGGTACAAAGCCTCTTGTTTCAGTCTTAGATAAGACCTCAAAAATGATATGCGTTTAACAGCAATATCAGGAAGTTCCATGAGCCTCGTCTTGGGCTTGGGTTATCTTTTTTCCATTTGAAGCATATTTCTTTAAACATTCTACTCAATGACATGCGACTACCATCAAATAATTGTTTGGCTTTCAATTGCTCCCATATACAGGATAATGTTACATGATGTCCTACAAGAAGAAAGAAGGCGACTCATAGATATCTACGTACCTTTGTTCAAACGATTTACTTTTTGTATACATATCGTAATTTTTACGTATAGCACTGCTATCGAGCTTTGAAACATCACAGACTCTCTTCGAAGTGCATCGATTCTTAGAAGCCGATTCCAAAACTTGGTTATTTTTGATTGCCTTTGAAATAGTACAGGCAGTGGACATCCTTAAGTTCAAAGCCTCTGATACGCGCTGAAAATGTGAGAAAATAAGGTTCAAACTGAAAATTCCTATTTGGTCACACAACATCAACGACTTGTAAACTCACCTTCCTAACAGCATTTAAGGGACATAAAGAGCCAATATTATCCGGTTCTCGTTCGAAATATTGTAACAAGGATGCGATTAGTTCTTTGCAACGGCTGTTGAGCTGCTTCGGCATCTGGTACACTTCGCACTACAAGCTGCTTTTAAGAAACAAGCTCATAATAAATTGCACTTAAACCAAAAACACGTAAACTGTCAAAACGCAATCAAAATTTAAAATGTCAAGAATTTAATTTGGCAACGTTACATTTTTTGAAGTGGTGTTACCAACTGAATCGCTAGCGGGAAATTCAAATTTCAATTAAGTCAATCCGACGGCGAATATTTTCACTGTTGGCGATAATGATTTTAAAAATGGCGTCATCGATGTCAGAACTACAAGTTTATTTGGTATGAACTATACTTTATTTGTAACGCCAGATGGAATTCTTGTGAATTGATACAAGTTCTTATATGCTTCAAAGCCAGTATAAATTCACTCACGTTCCAAAATAGGTATTTGATGGTATGCACTACGTAAATCTATAGAACTAAAATATTCATATTGTGAAACTTGACTGATGATTT